TCGTATTTCCATATACATGACGTGTGAATTGGTAAATGGGGCTAAAGAGGCAATGATGTAGAAGCAGTCGTCGTTTTTTCTTTCAATCAAGCTATGATGTCATACTGAGACAAAATTAAAAACGAGTCATTTTGGGACCAATAAAATCTGTTTTTAGACTAATACGGACGTTTTGAGGTCTGAAACATAGGATTTTTGAGGATTTTAAAGGATTCTTGCGGAAAAAAAAAACTTATTAATACAAATTAACACTTTTATTCAGCACGGAAATGTTCAATCAAATCAAAAGTGATTTGAAAAAGGACTTTTAATTGGTACAAATAATAAGATTTAAGTAAAGACTTAAAAAAGTGAAGTTTTGTGTGCTTCAAAAAATATATCACGGTTTCCACAAAAATATTACACAAGTATATGGCTTTTTTAATAATTTGGTCTGCTGGAATTGAGTCTATTACATAACTGTAAGGCTAAAAGGAGTTTTAGTGTCCAAGATACAGATGTACCTTCTTAATTTCATTGAGGATCCCCTTGAACAGGATTTATTAGATTGATACTAGGTTTAATACTGTATGTGTGCAGGAAACACTCATCATCACTGCTGAAGTTGTACAGCTGGTAAAGTGAATGCTGTGGTGTTTGACTACAGTGCTCGCCCTTAATGTTTGAGCTCTGATCGTTGCAGGTCTAGTATCAGGGCGCGGAGTGAGTAAATATTTACCACAGCGCAGTGGGACTCTTTCCGGAAGATCCCCGGCACTTTCAGGGAATTAAGCAGTTTCTGAACAGAGGGAACACCCTGCTGACAAACACAGGAGAGACCTCGGGCAGACACACACAGATGGACGTTCACGTGGGCTTTGCGACACGAAATATAACATAGGCTTCCTTTGTAAACACTGAAAACAAGGGTGGAGCTCACAATGGAAATGTTAGGGGCCACTTTACTACAAATGCACTGTGCAGTAACACAGAAGAGGAAAAAAAATGTGATATGACTTTAATTTTGCAATCATGAGTTTCCTATTGAAATCCTAAAGGTCACAAAACTAGAAGCGGGAGATGCAGGGAGGCTGATAAACGAATTAAAAGGGTGGGACAGGTACAAATGGTGGAAAGAAAACTAAAGATCCATTCTCTAACCTTTCCTGCTCTCTTCTTTTGAAATAACATGGGGATGAAATACACAGGGACAAAAGGGTACTATAAAAAGCTATATTTGAAAATATAAATATATAAATAAAGGCCTGAACTCTAACTAAATAGGACAATATAAATGCGAAAGATTTTGCAATCATGTCCGGCCAACTTGTCTGTACAAGTTTAAAGGGTCATGAAACCCTAAACCAAATTTTCTGAGATTTTAAAAGATGTATGTGTGTTGAACACCATTTAAGACAAAGTTAGCATTTGTTAGATTTAATAGTAGGGTAAAAATAGTTCAATTTTAGTTTTTTTCCCCACTATTTTCGTCTTCCGGGTTTAAAATCTTCATCGTGACGTGGCAGAGCACAAGTGAGTGCGTTGATGACTCATCAGTGTCTCATAATTATTAATGAGGCTGAGTTTTCATATATCATATGAGAAGACACTGCTCTTAATTATTCATGACACCACGTGGATCTTTCCAACGACAGACAGACATGTCAAACTGTGATATCGCATAGTAGATGAGAGAGGCAATCATGGGACGCAAGTGTTTGTTTTCATGGTGCGAAGTCCAAGTGTTGAATATATTTCCCCGCGATGCTGCCAGGGCTAGACTCTGCCTCTGGACGGTTAGTTTGCCATCAACCACGGACATATCTAAACATGATCTAAACTACAGTGTGTGCTGCAAACATTTTTTGGTGGACTTCAGAATGGTGGACTTCGCCTTGACAACAACTAATACAAGTTGCTGCGGTATGGCGAGGACTTTTCTATCCATTCAGAGGAGTGTGTGTGTGTGTGTCTAAAATGAGAAGTCATCCACCTCCGCAGAGCCATCTTTATTATGAGGGGCTTGTAGATCGATGCACGGAATGATTTTTTTAAGCGGAAAATGTATAATTGTTTTCTGAAATGCATTTATAGTGTCTATATAAACCACTATATATTTTATAACGACATTATAATTATACACGTAGCCTACATTAATATGTTTTAAATAGAATTACAAATACTGTAGGCTAATATATGTAGCAGGGCATTCAGTTACTTTTGAAGGGACAATAATAAAGTGTCCGTGTATTTCATAAGACTTTAAAAAAATCTAGCATTTCCTCACGTTTTACCACTGCTTTTTAGTGACAGTCGACATGCATGGGACATTGACAGTGATGGCCACACCACACCCACTCCCTCCCTTCTTCTCACAGCTAGCCACGCCCATTTAAGTTGCATTTTTTAAAAAGATTGTGAGCTAGACTTGAGCTGAAAGAGTGGCGTTTCATGACCCTTTAAGATTTTCCATTGCGCACAAACAGAAACATACACCTTGAGTGTCCTAGGGTGTCTCAGAGTGACTTCAACGTGTCCTGACTCTCTGGAAGCAACCACATAAAAGGGACCGCAGCAAATAAATGTTCCAATGTTGCAAATATGCCCATCCACGAATGGATGTAGCATGTTCAAACTTCAGCTTTTAGGCTAGAGTGATGGCACTGAAATACAGCTACAACACCTTAACACAAAATAACAAGTACTTATGCTTGCCATTCTTAGTTGTGCTGTGAGTCAGGTTACATTGTGTGTCTCTCTCGTCTCAAACACACACGAATAAGGGTGGTACAGTCATGCAAACACAAACACTTGAGTTTCTCTCTTTAGAGAGCATGAAGATATGACAGTGGGATTCAATTACACAGAAAACAAGTTCACGGTTCAGTGGTAGTGCTTATGGGTGTGATTGGGTTAACCAGATCAAGACTTGGATCAAGAAGCTTTAAGCAGAAGTGTGTGCTTTCCGCACCATTAGCAGCACCAAATACAACTGCAAAAACAACTACTGTTTTCACACTGGTTTCCCAAATACTACCATTGGACAAACACGTAGTCCTGCCCTAAACAGAGCAACATTATAATCCAGAATATGTTTAAAGCTACCAACATTCTCTCAAAAGTCTGAGATAAATTCCAAAGCGAATTCATAATTCAGTGATGTTACAAAACTAGAACGGACCTATTATAATCAATAAGGTGGTCTTATTCAGAGCAGCGCCATGACAGGTATGAAAGTGAGGCTGTGAGGGATAGACTTACCGTGTTTCCAATGGCATCCGCTGTAAAAAGCTGAATAAAGCTCCTAGATTACTTACAATTTTCCACAGCTTACATTGTAGGGAGTTTTTTGTCAACTGAAATTTCTTGGAAAAATATTTTTCCAGTGTTTCATAAGCAGAACGATCCGAAAACACATCAATTCCCACAAAAATCAAAGATGGCGCTGCCGTGAATAAGACGTATTGTGCTTGCACTTCAGATGCAACCCGGTTTAAATAATAACAAGTTTTGATAAATAGGTTCCTTTAATATAATAGGTGTACATATGCATACAAACTGCCTTGTGTAAAGTATTGGAGTAAATTTAAGAAAATTTAATTAGTTACTGTACCCAAGTATCTTTTTGGCTACTTTGTAGTTTTACTGAGTATCAAATAAATTAGCAACTTTTAATCTCTACTTGAGTACATTTTTGAACAAGTAAATGTACTTTTTACTCCAATACATTTGTGATGAGTAATACTATTACTCGTTATATTTTGCATGGCGCCTAACTTTTCCTTCAGCAGTTTCTCTCTGCTATAAAGAGGCGATATCGCAATCTAAGGGCAATGAAGGAACAATATCTGCGTGTTTTGCCTTTACTCACCCAAACTTGTCAACAAGACTACTTTACGCGAATGCAAATATACACCTCTGTCGTTTCCTTGTTTTAAAATGTTTTACTTTGGTGCTCCTACGAGGATCAACGTGAAGTTGGCTGTTTAGAAGGGGGTCCAATTACTTTATGTATTGATATATAAAAAAAAAGATACAGAAATTGTGATCGACTTTTCTCATTGTGCTGAATATTTGAGTGAAACAGCTTCTCTGGCAGTATTTGAAAACTGATCTGGAATTGATTGGGTGATTTTCGTGATGATGTACGTGATTAATCGATTTCTGGAGGGGATGGATTATTGCGCAACCCTTGGGCTGATGAACAGGTCATGAGAGGAGAGATATTGCTGCAAGGTCATGTATATGTTTTTGAAGAAAGGGCAAGGGCACATGAATTAAAAAAAAAAGTTCAATGATAAATATTTTAGATTAAAAACTATATTCCATAAAAAAGAAGTATTGTCAATTTTGAATTATTACCATTTCTCAGTGTAGCCTATTTGAAGTATAAGCTATGCTGTTGCCCTACTCAAAATAAAAGAACAAAAAATCAATGTCAGTCAAAAAATCTAAAACAGTCTAGTAACTCTCTTTCTCACCTCTCATGTTGTGTCTGGTGTGTTTCTACCATATGGCAGCCAGAGAGCTGCTACTGTTGCATCATTCAACTCCATATGAGAGGCCTTGGCAAGGCATCAAAGACTTGCTCTTATGGTAAACACCACTATAGTACAGGCCTTGAAACCCATCTGCCAGAGCTCCAACCCCCCTGAGGTATTCCCTGAGGTATTCCTCAGGTGAATCTATCATGAATTTGAAATTAATATTCAATTTTTCGGGAGACCTCCAATGCCTCGCTTCATGACAGTTTGAATGATGTTCTGGCTCTTGTTATAGCAAGCAATAAATCACCTCTTGTGAAAGTAAAAATTAAAAAAGAGGTTCAAAATCTGAGCTGTTTAAGTTATATATTAAAAGAAAAAAAGCTCACATAGGACCATATGTCAGCATAAGACAGCGAATGAAAAACGAAGCTGTCATCAACCCAGACATAAAATCAAGTTCTGCCCGCAGACATCAGTTCTGATGCTGAATGAGACACCATCCCTGCGTCTGACTTGAACAGCCACATCACTCACCCTGCAGACAGACATCTGGTTGGTCGTCAAGGTCCCAGTCTTGTCTGAGCAGATAACGGAGGTGCATCCCAGCGTCTCCACCGAGGGCAGTGAACGAACAATAGCGTTTTTCTTGGCCATACGACGGGTTCCCAGTGCCAGGCAGGTGGTGATGACAGCTGGAAGACCCTCTGGAATAGCAGCCACTGCCAAGGCCACAGCTATCTTGAAGTAGTAGATGGCACCTCGGATCCATGAGCCGCCATGGACTGGGTCGGCGAAATGGCCAATGTTAATGACCCAAACGGCGATGCAGACGAGGGAGATGACCTTCGAGAGCTGTTGACCGAACTCATCTAGCTTCTGCTGCAGCGGAGTTTTCTCTTGCTCAGTTGATGCCATCTGGTTACGGATCTTACCGATTTCAGTGGAAACACCGGTGGAGATGACAACACCGATAGCCCGACCCGCAGCGATGTTTGTGCCCTTTCGGAAAACATAAGAACGGGCATATTTAAGCATATAAACATTTACACCTAAATGAAACAAAGCCACCAAAGACCTTTCAAATCTAAATGTATACTTTTGCAGACTTAGAAACAACAGAATCAGATGTTCCTCAGTCTTATATTTACATTTACATTTATTCATTTAGCTGACACTTTTATCCAAAGTGACTTACAATTGCTATACATGTCAGAGGTCGCACACCTCTGGAGCAACTAGGGGTTAAGTGTCTTGCTCAGGGACACATTGGTGTCTCACGGTGGATTCGAACCCGGGTATCTCACACCAAAGGCATGTCTTATCCACTGCGCCATCACCACCCCTTTTTTTCATATAATTTTTATAAAACATAGCTTGTAAAAAACATTGACTTGTGAAGAGTTAGCTATAAATCTCATTAGGGACATTTTGCCCTGATAGGAAACTACATCTTTCATTACCACAATGTGTTGGAAAATGCATTAAGCTGAACTATAAAAGCACATGGGCCATATACAGCTTATTTTAAATGACTAAAGAAGAAAACAGGGAGACTGCATTAACTCTGATGTTATCCTATCACTCACTAGGCCAATAACGTCACCTGAGGTGTTCCCTATCCCCAGATGATATTAACGCAATCTAAGTGGATTGAGAGCAGTCAAATGCATGCCTACTTAGAGCATCTGAATGACCGCAATTGAACGCAGACAGGAAGAGTCCGTTTAGACTGAGTGCACGAACAGAATACTTAAGTCTTATTATATCCTACAGTCTAATGACATCCTCCAAACTAGAGATACAAAAAAAAAACAGGACAGAATAAAAAAAGACACAAAGAAAGAAAACCAAAATATCACTTATATGCAAATATTCTATTATTATATGCATGTGAGAAGTTCATCTCCCAAAACAGGAAGTGAAGTGCTTACAGAAAACAGCATGTTCTTTTTGTCTTGATTGACAGCTCGAGGATCTGGCACAGGATCAGTGTGTTTGATAATAGACACAGATTCACCTAAAGAACACACAGAAAGTTTTAAATAAAGCAATACTGGGAATTGGGTAGTGACAAATGCTGTTTATCTCAGACGTCCACAGTACCTGTGAGAATGGACTGGTCCACTCTTAGGGTGGTGGATTTGATTGATGTGACCCTAATATCTGCTGGCACTTTATCCCCAACTAGAAAACAAAATGGGTTGAGAGTTACTTCATCAAAAGCAGGCAAAGACACTCCTATGTTACTGATGAATGCATGACATACTGAAAAAAAGTGTGTAGGACATTTGCCTGAGGGGTCATAACTGCAATCATAAACAGGATATAAGACAGGCCACTGCACAGCCATCATTCAAGGCTGTTCTTGACCTCTTGTTTTCCAGGTAAACACTTAATTACAACAGATCGAAGCTGAACTACTAGGACACAAAGCCTGAAGCAAAACGAAAAAGTGACTGAAACAAAAAAAAAGAGAGAGCAAGAGAGAAAAACACCACCTCGAAGACTAACTGCAGACACACTGGAACACCGTTCGATACCCAGTTGATGAGAGCACACAGAGAGATCAATATTCGGTTCATGCTTCAAATAAAAAATAAAAAAAGGCGCTTGAGGTGGGAAAAACGTAGCCAGTTGGATGAAACAGAATCAGTCAATATGTGTCGTTTTCAACTGGGTTTTTTGAGTCCTTGCAGGCAATTAGGCTTTAAGCAATACATATTTTGTTGCAGTTTGGATTAATGAACCTTTGTTCTTTCCTACCTTACCCCAGGTCTTCAGTGTCACATGATCCTTCAAAAATAATTTTAATATGCTGATTTGCTGCCCAAGAAACATTTCATATTATCGATGTTGTAAAAAGTTGTTCTGTTTAATATTTTCATTGGATACATTTTCTTCAGAAGGAATAGATAAAAAGTGTATCCCAAAATGTATCCCAGAACTTTCTGTTTTGAATAAGCAAGTAAGTTCACAAGAGCATAGAAGTCCTTTGTAACGAGTATTGTCACTCTTGATCAATTTAATGTGTTCTATAATACAATAAAAGTATTCAGATTATTAAAAAAAAAACCTCCAAACTTTTGAACAGTAGTGTACTTTATATGTTTTCAAATACATAATTAAAAATAATATTTAAATAAATATGATTTGTAATAATTCTCAATAAGCTTTTTCCATCTTCAAAACCATTTTACAGAAACTAAAGAAAATAGTGTGCAGTTTCCATGTCTAGCTATAACCCTGCATCTGGGTGTCAGTAAACTTGCAAAGTCTCATCCCCATGTCATTTAGCTCCTGGACCAGGACAGGCTACAGGGGCACTTAACAGGCATTTTAAAGCAATTAGAGACCCTTAGTGCCATAATTATACTCCATTTAAACCCTCAGGCTGAGCTGGAGGCATGCAAGAGAGCAGCCACACTTCCCAGATAGTGGATGAACGGCCTGGACAGTGTAGAAACTCTAAAAGAGGTTGGGATATCGACAAATTGAACGGCAAACTGTTTTGTTAGTCAAAGACACGTGATCTTGCATAATACTGTCATGTACAGTAAAATATCTCTCTTTTTTTTTGCTCCAATCCTCTGGGGACAATTTCTGAGCCGAACAGTCTCTCTTCCTCCAACGTCACAGGAATGGCTCACATCAGCCTGGGGGTCTCTGAGGAGGGAGACAACACCACCATCAGGGGCTGTTCTGTGTGGGAGAGGGGATAGAGAGGGCATGGTGGGCGGGAAACTATTTATGCTTCCAGAACGACGACGGACCTTTCTTTTCTCATTCTTGGATTTTATCGCTCCCTCTCTCCCCCCTCAGCGGTGTCTCCCACCCACTCAGTCACACTGCGAATGGGTACTGAACCCATCTAAATGCTAATGCGAGCAGCTTTTCGCCATACCAAGCCAGAACAAAGCAAAGTGAGCTAAATATACCCAGACATTATGACAGTAGATGGCAAGCATCTGATATCAGGAAACAGGCCGCCACGGACATCGGACATAAACCTGATTAGACCGGGTGACGCATGCTTACTTGTAAATGTGGGACAGTGTAATAACAGAGGATGGTGAGTTCAAGATGTTTGCGAATGCTGATCAAAATGGTCCTGTGGTTATGACTAAAAGATGATCAGGCTAAAGGGAATTCCTTTTAAAACACAGAGTGGATGCTTCACTGTTACTCATCCCAAAGAGAGTGAAAGAACAACCGAGTTCTTTCAAAATCTCCAGGCATTTTGTAAAGCCACATTCTGGTTCATCGAGTATTATAATGGAGTGAGAATGTTATTTTGAATCCCCGACACAGCCGAGGGAAAGTTCCACTTCGGATATTGTGATTGCTGAAACCATAATTATGGCACGATGCTGGGCTGACTGGGAATAAAAGTGTAAATAATCTATGAATATCTATATTACTCATGCATGCTAAAAAAATGGCTAAACTGTTTTCCGACCTCCAATTCTATTGGTGGTGGTCCACAACAAAAGTTCCGATGGAATAGCCACTCACGAATGGCGGGTACAGGAAAGAACTTTGCTACGAGAATAGGGGAACGGGTGTTGTGGGTCATATTTTTGGTTGCCATTTGTTTTGAATCTTTTTTTGGCTGTAGTTGCCAATTTATAGTTCTCACAAGTGCCTTTTTCCAATGTGTAATTTTCATTCAACCTCTGGAGAAAGTCGGGTTTTTAGGTAGGGGTTGTTGCATGTTTGTTTACACATGTTTGATAGTGCTTAGCAACACGATTATGTCATTGTTGCAGCCGGGTTAGACAGAAATTGAGAAATATATCAGCAGATCCAGCTGACAACACCTCTGTCCTGCCAGTGCTTCCCACTTACTGAACAGGACTTGTTAAATGCTACGACTATAACCAATGAACTCAGCACAAGCAGCTCAGCATGTGTGTGAATGTGTCTACACCTCGTTAGTGGGTTCTAATGGCTATAAACCTGTGGATGAATCTTGAACCTCAGAGCCATCTCCCTTTCCCCCATTGCCCATTATGACAAAGTGCAGAAGATAAATAGAGTGCCAGCCGTTTCCACCCTCACAGACCTCTGGAGTGGAAACACAGGAGGTGCTCTTCTCCCCTTGGATCAATTCACTTTGTTTCATTTTTGTTCAGTTTGCAGGCTGGGAAGTGCTCAAGGCTTCAGGAAGAGGAAATGCCAAAAATCTCACTCACAGGCCAAAAATATCAAATCAATCTTTTGACTATATAGCAGCAAAAATGAAAATAGTTTGTTCAAAATGTTCTAGAACAGGAACATTTTTGATGTCATGACCCCCAGTTAGAAGAATCCCCATGAAAATATAGGAAATATAAAGCCATTATAGTATATAAATATATTGTTTTTCAACATAATAATAATAATAACAGTTTCTACATTATTCAAATAACAGTTGTTTCTACATTAAAATATGATTTGCTGTCCTTTTTTGTTCAATTTCAGTTGCGTTTGCTAGTTATCTCAGTCCACAGTTACATCTCATTGGTCCTAAATCCCGTTTATTAAATTCTGTATATTTAACCTAAAATATGGTTGGATTGGGTGTGGTTTTGTGGTACAATCTTGGCTTTCAGGAAGGACAGAAACTTGATGCTGGAAACATCTGGACTGACAGTGATGCCTGTTACTTTACTGTACATGTCTGTCAGTTTGACCTTGACATGGGAGGGACTCTGGGACTTGTTACCATGGTGACATACCCAATAGGTGTCAGAGGGTGAAGCCCGACAGTGTGAGCATGTGTGTGTGCAGAGAGGAAAATCCAGCCGCTGGAATGTGGGCTTGTCAAGGCATAAGACCAAACAGTGCAAATGAACAAAGAGATGCCTGTTACCACTGTGCTAAGACAGGTAATGTAACCCACATCTCATTCCTATTTCTTTAATTCGCTTCTCTCTCTCTCTGCATCTCACCGCATTTATTGCTCCCTCCCGCTCATCTGTCGTTCACGCTTTCGTGCCGTCTCCCTCACACATTCTGTATCTCTCCATACTCTCGTTCCCTTCAACACCCACACCAGTCTCATCTTTGACTCTCTCACTTTCACCTCCATTCACAAGCAAACGAAGCGATGTGGCTGCATCCATGTTTCTGAATGAATGCGGCTGCTCTTAAACATGAATTGGAAAATCTTGTGGTATAACACAGGGATTATTAGTCTGATCTTTCATTCGTTTTCACTGTAACAGTGAAAAGCAGCAGTTGATCATCCCCCTCATCTTTGTCATCTCCTCTCCTCCACACTTGGCTGATGCAGACAGGAGATCATTAGCATGCAGGGTTTTAAAGAAGCAAACACTGATTACTTTGAAGCCAAGACTAGCAAATTTATATGTGCGCGTGTGATGCACACAGGTCTACTTTGATCTCAGCGCCTACATATACACTGGCAGGTTCCCCAAATTAGAGTGGGCACAAGGCTTCAACAAGAGGTAAGAGAGAAAAAAAGACAGAACACTATAGTCACTTTTCAGCTTTGCACTATGAACAGAATACGTGCACACACACGCACACAGATTTTTTTCCTGCATGTCTCTGCTTGGCACCCTCATACTCACAGGAAAGCCACTTACATAATACAGTCTGGGATATTCCTGCTCTGCTTTCAAGTTTATGGCAAGGAGCCCAAACACACACACACACACACACACACAGAGAGAAACCCTGAAGGGTTCCCGTTCAGGGCAAAGAGTTGTGGTGAAACATATAAACGTACACTCTGGGCAGCCACACAAGCCAATGGGAAGACTGGGGAAAACGACAGCCTGTGTTTGTGTGTTTTGGGTACAGTGAGAGGTGGTGATGACTGGAAGAAGAAGAAAAAAACCTCCACTGCATATTATGTCAGACCACATGGGTAAATGGACAGAAGAAACCTCAAAATGTCCACAGGACTCAAGACGGGGGATGTGGTGAAGTATGTGTATTGTTCCACAAACATCATCTCTGCAGATTCGATCCTTCTCATTAAACAAAGGAAGAGACTGAGAACAGATGGCGTATTATCAAATGGACAGAGAGAGAGAGAGAGAGAGAGAGACAAGAAAAAGGCCGAAACTTACCAGAAACCTCCACGATATCTCCAGGCACAATGTCTCGAGCTTTGATCCTCTGGATGGCCGTGCGGTTCATGCGGTAAACTTTGCCCATCTCTGGCTCGTACTCCTTCAGAGCCTCGATGGCGCTCTCTGCATTCCGCTCCTGAGACCATACAACAAACCACAATAGTATCAGCAAGGATACACGTGTAACGCATTGGTAACAGCCCATATTTTATTGGTCTGATTACGATTAGGCCAAAAGTAGCCTGCTCTTGTTTTCAATGTCAGGTTTAAAACATAAATAAAAAGTTATCTATCTCTTCTGCTTTACAATGTGATAATGTTCTGAAAGTAAGCCCAAAAAATAAACAATATTCACAATATTACAATTTGTAAAATGATTACTATAATATAATTTGATAATAATAATAATTTGATAATTAATAATAAAAAGAAAAAAATATATACAAATTAAAAAATAAACCATTGTCCATCATATCAGATGCAAGCTGCAGCATTCAGTATCAGACAAAATATCGACAGATGGGTATATTCATAAGAATGTATGTTTATAATCCAAAGCTAGTCAACATAGCTTTTATCACAGTACAGAATACTATATTAATAATATACTGTATTTTGTAATAAGCCATATGGGATGGGATCACACAAAGTCATTTCTAACACTCTGCAAAAACATGGTTATAATCTAATAAACTCTTATGTTTTAATGCTGTAATAAGCTAACATGTTAGCAAGCCCTTAAGCACCTATTACCAGAATCAATTATGCTTTATGACTAATTTTGAAAAGTAAAGATCTTTGAAATGTTTCCTTTTTTTATCTTAAGGGCATTTGATACAAAGCCACAGGTGGAGAAGTTACAAGCTTGAACACATAAATAATGGATTTTTTTGAATAGAAAGCCGCAAGTAAATATAACAAAGACAAAAGAATAATAATTAGAGCCATATCTTGGCCTGAGAGGTGTGAATGTGTGCAGGGGAGACAGGAACTGAATGGGATAGACTGTATCAAAAATACTGAATGGATACTTAAAAGATGTGAATAAACATCAGTTAGCATTTTAGAATCTTCTCTAAATTAAATTACATGAAAAAATATTGGATTGGGTGGATTGTTTTACTAGACTGCAATAAGGCCAGTTTCATATTTATACCCCATAAACACATTTCCTACAAAGAAACTTCACAATACATTTAAGCCCTTTCTCAGTTTTTATTTTTATGAAAATAATTCATTCTGACTTGATGACTGTCTGATTTCACACTTATACTTGTAGTACAAGGGCCTCATGAACTGAATACATTTCAGTTTCGATATGTGATTTCTTCATATATTTTTTTTTAAAGGGGGCAGGCTAACAATAGCAGGAGACAGCAGTGGATTGCATTGACAGACAGTTCTAAGAGATGGTCTCCTGCCATTGGTATACATGTAGATTTCATGACACAGATCCCTGTACACACTAATAAACTAATATGAACACCTGATAATCATCTGTCATGTTTGGGAATACCTTAGTAGTAGTTGTAGCATATCTAATGCTAAACAGTGAGACATCAAGCAAACTCGCTGTTCTGACATTACTCATTGAGAAGAATTTCTTTAAGGTCCTTTAGTTTCACAGGCCACAGGCACCCACCTGCCAGACTCCAATGACTGCGTTGGCCACCAGAATGAGCAGGATGACAATAGGCTCCACGAAAGCTGTGGTCGACTCCTCCCCATCCTCAAACAGTGCCAACACCTAATGAACAAACACAACATAAATTACTCCTACCTCATATTCAAAGCTCAGTTCAGTTCAGGTTACTGAAGTGAGAATTAAAGTATTTAGTACTATTTTTACTAAAAAATATTTACCGGTTATACACAGTACACACACAACCGTTTACTGTTCCGCTCCCTTTCGTAAGAAAGAAATTAATACTTTTATTCAGCAAGGATGCATTAAAATGAGCAAAAGTGTCAGTAAAGACATTTATAATGTTACAAAATGTTTTTAAATTTCTATTTCCATTTCTCAAGCTGCTGAAAATTCTGCTTTGCCATCATAGGAATAAATGACATTTTACAATACATTCAAATAGATAACTTTAAATTGCAATAATACATTTATTCAGATAAATGCAGGCTTGGTGGGCATAAAAATACTTCTTTCATCATAAATATTAAAAAGACTTTCATTTGTCAGGGAAATTAAAGTATTAAAACTAATAAAGAACTGAAAAAAGCACTTGTTGAGCTCTGAGGACCCTTCAGTACCGCTTTTAAAAAATAGCTAGTACAATAAACATCAGGCTCTATCTGTTATGAAACAAGATACTGGATCATTCCACACCCATTAGAAATATTCCAGTGAAATCATGCCATCAGGTACAAGCCCCAGGCAGATATGTAGGAGTTCGGGCTGGGGTGGGAGGCATTTTCAGAAAAATTCTGGATTATTTTAGAAGCTAAAAGCAGCAATATGCATGCTAGGGAATGGAATGGAATGGAATGTGACGGCTTGATTTTTACAGATTGCAGAGACGGCCTTGAAGTTCATTACTTTCTGACAGTGTCGATCAGTTCAACTTCTCATCAGAGATAGAAACCCCAGAAAAGCTTGACGCAAGTTGACCTAAAATGGCAGTACAAGCAACAAATTTCTTTAAAAGAAGAGAGGTAGCTAAAAACTGATTTTGAGTTTTGTGGATGTCTTGAAAAACAAAATGAGGAGTAGGGATTGAGGGTGGAGGAGAAATAATAAAAGATGGACTAAGTAGAGAGGCTAAGTAGTTTGACCATAAATACACTAATAATTGCATGAACTTTATGTACTTAATACACTCAAGTTTGCAGATTGTCCTCCACTCTTTCATATCATGCATTCATACAACGCACTCGCTCCTTCCACCAAATTCTAAGAAACTTCAATACAGATCGGTCTGTCTTTAACCTTTCATTACAAACTGATAAAGATACTTTAGAACAGAGAGTAACCGTGAAATAAGATGGGCAGGCGGCTGATGTGGAGAGAATGAAGAGACCAGAAATAGTCAAAGAGTCAGAATGAGAAAGTGATGAAGAGCAAAAAGGATCCCATAAAACAAAACGGGTGGAAAGATGACAATTACTGAAATATTTGAGGAAAGCCACACAGATGAGCAGCTTAGAGTTTAGATCACAGAGCTCAGCTAAATCCTGTCAAGTCATGGCTCTGGGGGGCTAGTCCAACTGAGGTCTATTCACTCATAAATATCACTAGACTCTAAATCATCTTTCCATTCCCTCGGTTTTTACACTTCAAACAGAATAAAAATTGACTGACAAGACAATTTCAGCTGAAAAACAATGGCATTTACTTTGAACATTTGAGCAAAATTTGGATGTTTTGAAAAATGTCTGTTTTTTTGTCTATTCAGTGAAGGCCATAGTTTTGAAGCCTACAGACTTTCACTGCATGAGCAAAAACAGCTGAATCACTCTGTAAAGGTATCTTCTTTTGTGTTCCACAGAAGAGGGCAAGTCATGTGGTCAAAAATTCAAAATGATCCAGTCATTGTCATCTTCAGATCAGTTTAACCATTGAGTACAAAGAATATCACTGACAAAGAGGAATTTGAGGTTTCATCTTCAACTTGCAGTAAATGACATTTTACTGATGTACACTCTGCCAGAGATCTGCTGAAGTCGCAACTGATTTTATGGAGATCTCTGCACACCAGGAATGTGCAGACAAGATAACATAGAGACACACAAGAAGTAGTAAGAATTGGCTGAAATGAAAGAAGGAAAAATGAAACGATGAAAAAGGAATTAAAAGATCATCAATACAGAAGGAATACAGCTAATTAATCTGAAATTAACTGAAATGAAAATAGGCAATCATTTTGGGCGTCTTGGGACCAGCAGTCGCATGGCTGCACATGTAGATCTATTTGTTACCATCCAATAGCTTTAAATCCCAGCACATGCTGTTGTAGGATGAGTCAGGCTACCATACCCTCATAATAGCACTTGTTTCAAAAAACAAAATATATATATATATATTTTAAAACATAACATTTTTGTCTACACTTCTCCCGCGTTGCTTAGATACCAAGAGCTTTGTTCACATAACATGCAAAAAAGTCAGGAAAGCTGAACGCAAAAAGATTTTAATATATTCAAACAGGCACACAAATGAGTTCCAAGACTCCCCGGAGTATTTCCATTCCACCATAGCATTTGACCAGCAGACAAACACACGCACACTGCTTTCTGGGAGGTCTAATGCAATATTTTTATCAATTTCAAGTGCTCCGCAGGATTCCAGAGGTCGGAAGACTGGTGCTCGCCTCATAGAATTTAACCACGGTTAAGACAATAAAAGTATTGACGAAACGCACAATGATAGATGACAGGAGCAGAGCTCCAAAAGCAGATTTACTTGAGGGAAGACTGAGTGCAGACGTATGGAAACAAAGAGCAAGTACACAAAGACCGCAGGAACTAATGTGTTTTTGCAGGGAAAAAAAAAAAAACATAAGAGTGTCTGACTATCCATTCCACTCCGTGTGCACACTCATGTTATATTACTCTCACAGAACGGCGGGAGGCAGGAGAGGTTTGACAGTGGCCCTTGTTACTACTTGAAGTCAGACGGAAAGTTCATAAAAAGGTAAATTCATAAAAGCCAATAAGAGAGGAGAATGATAGACTGAGACTTTTACCCTGGGCTTTATAACATATATGCTTTTGCTTTTTAGGATTAGCTTAATGTCTACTCTCCCTCTACACAGGGAATGTTTTGCTCAAGGTAATTTATTACCTTTTTAGATATATTTTTAAAAATCCAATAAGAAAACCAGATCAGTTTAACAAGTCAGGCTCATGGAAAGTCTGATCAAATAAATGCAGTGTTGGTGTGAGCATAAGAGACTTTTTTCAAAGACAAAAATCATACTGCGCACAAACCCTCGAACGGTAGTGTATATTATGACAAATAATTTGTTCTAAATATGTTTAGCTGGTTCTATTACTAGGATGATTTTTCAAAAAGTATTTCTCAAAGAGGATTTCAGTGAGCTGAGAGGGTGTTAGACTGAATGACACTATAAACTTTCAGGTGTTTCATGTCTCTAAATGCAGTACATTTGTGCCATGTGTCTCACAGATTTTTTTTCTGCATCTCGCACCACGATCAGTGCATTTTTAGGATAGCGTTTCAATTTAAAAATAGTTCAACTTTTAAAAACACATCTTGAGTGTTCAGTTCCAATCTGTTGTGCTCTATCTACATTACTGTACAGTATGTGAACCCCCCATATGGTAGACCAGAACTTAAATCCTCTAATTATACAGTGCGATTATAAAAGTATGGAATTTTGAACATATCTTATCCAAAGACTTATATCTGACATAACACTACTGAGACTAACAACTGTACCGATCCTGCAGGTGATAAACATGCAGCACTAAAGATGTTTAATGCTTTCTTTCCAAGGTCTAACTGAAGAGAGTGCAGAGAGCACAGACAAATGAGCTTTGACTTCAAATCACCTAATTCATTTACCTGTGTTTTTTAGATCCACAGAGCATTGCACCGAGGTAAATTACCTTAAGCCATACAAATGACTCCAGGTGAAGTTTTTACATATATCATTTGACTACAAAATTCAGATTTTTAAAAATCAGAAAGGGAGATTAAAAAAAATCCCTCTCTCACTTACGCAATCTGATCGTTGACAATCATTAATTGGAATTTGAGGTTTAGTTCGCCGAATTGCACTGTTTGTGATAGGTGGTGATGGGAACTCATTCTGTCGAGGGGTTCTGCATTACCTCACCTACTGCATGAACTATACCTGCTTTAAAACTTACAGTGGGGTATGGCTGTCACACTAATTATTGTGCTGGAAATAAAAGAAACCACATCTAAACCAGAGAAAGTCACTTACAAAAGACACGCAGGCTGCCAGCAGCAGAATCCTCACCAGGAGGTCCTCAAACTGCTCCACCACCAACTCCCACAGTGATTTACCTGCGAGAGACCGATATGAGAAGAGCGGACAGACAGACATAAATATTTAAAAATATTTAATGACAATTGGGTCTTAGGTTAACTTTGCACTAGGGCACCACTGCACACAGCTGTAATGCTGCGCATGTATTTGTGCATACGTGTATATGCCAAGTCTTAAAGTTTACCTCTCTCTAGTAAAACAGAATGACTGAGCCCGTGCTAACGGTGCAACCCATAAAGAGAGAGCAGTAACAACATGATGGAAAGATCAATATTTACCTTCTTCGGCTGGGAGCTCTGTCAGTCAAAACACGGCGAGGGAATCCGTAGTGGAATGAGAGAGAGAGAGAACAAAACAGATAGAGAGGACAAAACAGAAGGTATTCTGTTAGAAATGCCATAGGGTGAAAATGCTGTTTAAACAGTTTCTTTTAAATTCACACTGCATTGCCTGTGACAGTGCAAATTGTCTTCATTTTCTGTCTGAATGTTAAATACACAGACCAATACTAGCTAAACTATAAGATTTCAGATTAGCGTAGACAATTATTCATTCAGGATTAATGGACTTCTCTCTGCAGAACAGATAAGAACGCTTTTTTCATTATCTGAGAAATTCTCTAGAAAGATTCCTACGCTGCAAAAAAGAACTGCAATATCTTTGCAGTCATCTACCACTCACACTGTCAAATGTAATCTTTGAAGTTGTGATGTAACGGAAGTAACGACAGATTTTCCTCCGTATTGTGACATACATCCAAGTGAAACAGTTTTTCAAAAATATAATGGTGGAGACAGATCAGTTGATTGGATGGAAGTAGATCTGAATGCAAGATTGTAAGAAAGGGGGAGGCAAAATTATTGGAGAAGTCTTCCTGCATATGTCACCAGCTTTTATTGTTTCACTAGAAGGCAGAGTTATGATATTTTTAAAACCAATAAAAAATATATAAACATATGCATGGATAACTTAAACAATACAATCAATAACATTGATCAAGGCATTTAGAAAATAGATATAAATTACCATTTTATGCTGACTGTAACTATATCTTAAAATAAATAATATGTTCATACTGTATATTAAATGATGCTGCCTAAATTGAATGCCTTTTTTTTTGACAATTCTATAGAATTTTAATATCATCCATTTAACAGTTATTGCTAATAATATCATGAAAATAATGATCAGTGTATAGGTATCGCAAATATTTTAATATTGGTGCATCCTCACTGTTCACAAAACGATTCATTTAGAAGATATTTTAGAAGAAAAAAATTAAAAATCCATGATTTTCTTTAGAATCAATAATGTGTTGTGGGCTTCTTTGAGCGTCTAGAGTGATGCAATAAAATCCACAGCAGGTACATCAGCAAGTTAAATGTAAACCACAACCATTGCATATGAAGAATATCATCTGGGGTGGAAAATGTACAGATGGACCACCAACTGGGATTATTTAGTGAATGTGCTTCCTCTCTCGAAGATGGAGAATTTCATGAGACAAACATTTCTGGCATTGTGCACGAGTCATACGACATAGATGCGCTCTGTGGCCTACACACTGCTGTTTAGTCAGTTCTAGAAGGTTCTCGAGTCAGAGCGTGTGGGAGCTGAAGAGCATGTGGAGAGTGGGAGGGGGCGGAGCTTCACAGACCTCTCTCTCACACGCACAGACACACATCATAATTACAACACAGATGCCCTCTTTGTTGAGGCTCCACTCTGAAATCTTGAGGATTTTCAGCAGTTCAGCATGCATGCCCATCTATATGGGGAAAGTGAGGCCTCATTAATAAGCAATTCACACTGGTGTTGCTCTAGGTGCATTTACGGCTTTCAATCTCACTATCAAAGACTTTCATTAACGAATCACAATTTCTGATAATCGCTTAACATAAGGTACACAAGAACATTTGTTTCTGGGAGACCGTTCATGAATGGACCAAAGAGAAAGCACAATGGAAAATCCTTGGAGCCGATTCAAAAGATAGTGAGAGAAAATACAGGGTGTTCCTGAATTCCAACGAGCATGTGTTTGTGTGTACTTGGGTTAAGATTAGCCTTGCGTTGTCCGGATACAATCAGGAGTTTCACTGCTCTGCAGTGGGAAAGTTTGTGATCCACATCAATTCTGATAACCAAGAGAAACCTAGGTTCCACTGGCTTTTGTCTCAGACTTTGAGTAACAGAAAGGAGGCTTCCCTCTCCCAACAATCATATAGACGGAAACAGGTCATGTCAGTCATAACGTCATCAAGGGTCAAGACTCTTGGCAGCAGGGAGCAGGCTACCAAACCAAAATTAAATCAGCTCGTGAGGGAGACCTGCAGCAGTGAGAATACGCAGCGGTAAAGCACCAAGATTCCCATTTCCCTTTCAAAAAAGTGGCATGCGGCCAAACAATTTAAAACACACACATTTAGCCAGTCAATGGCTGAATTTCCAGCAATGCTTGGAAAAAAAATTGTACGGGGGGGAAATACAAGCAATCATGACTGAATGTTTACTTTAATAATGTTCGGTCTTTTTCGGCTTCTTAATGTTTTTTGTAATGACAATCGTGAATAGAAGAAATGAGATGATTCAGATGTACAAGTGAATGAGAGGGAGGAAAAAAGCATGAAAGAGTGTGTTCTGCTTTGAAGAACAGATCAGCATATTCTTCTCTTCATCTTCCCTCAGGCTATGAGATCTGTCTGTACTAGAGAGCCAGAAAAATTGAAGTCAAGAGCTCAGTTCTTGTGAAATGAGCGCAGTGATATACTTCAAATGTCCTGATATCGGAGAGTCATTTTTTGTCTCTTTGGGGGTACAGTGCAATATGTCATAGATTTTTCCTTGCTACTTTGAATGACTAGCTACAGAAGCACTGCCTGACTCTATGAAATCTGTTCAATACTCTGAATTCTAGACTACTGTTGTCTAGTCTTGTCAGTAAAAAGCAATATTAAAAAAAAAAAAAAAACGATACCAGCCTTTGTGCAATACTGGTAGATTCGGTCAGAGAGGAGAGAGAACGCTCATCCATCGTTATTACCTGTGCCGCTGCCAACAAAACAGACCGGCTCAGAATCCAAAAGATGCGAGATGGATTGGCCGGTTACCGGTCTGGGCCAATCATGCAGAAAATTATCCTGGCCGGTTAATCGCTGCATCTCTAATAATTGTAGCCAATCAAAGACATGTTTGTAGAGAGAGTGAACATAATGGCCAAAAAGAGGCTAGGGAGGGTGAACACAATGGCCAATCAGAGGCATTTAAATTAGTCAGAATCCTGTCAGGTCACTATGAGCTGCATACACTAGTGAACTGTTACAACCAGCAAAGTACAAACACAAATGTAAAAAAGAGAGAGTGCACTTGCACTATAGACCGATTTTTTTTATTATAACCTGAGTTTTCATGGAGCTTGTGCTGCAGCTAATCTTAAATCTAAAAACAATCTTATATATCTGCAGTGGATTCAGTGTAACACTGAACCTCAAGACTTTTCAATGAGACCATTCAATAAAAACAGCCTCTTATTTGGAACCGAAATCAACTACTGCATCTGCATTGAGACACCTGGAGAGCCGAATGGTGCGAGGCTGCGAGCATTTCCCGAATATATCTTGAGGCCCTTCTCATTTCACATCATTAAAAGACTAGGTCTCTTTTTTGAATCATGAACCCAATGGCAGTCTATAGTGGGTTCAGCTCTAATTCAACACGATATTATGTAAGAGCAATATGAACTCATCTGAAGTCTGTTGTGGAAAGAAATCACCTCACAGAGCAGCAGCATGTTCCACCAGTGGTGTGGAAAAACTGGGAGGTAGGACAGGGGGAGTAATGGCCCTGAGTTTCCCTCTCTTTCCAGTTGCGCGTGCGTGTATGTGTCCATGTATGTGTGTGTGTGAGTTTACCAGGGGACATTGTCCTCCTGTTGCTTTAGCTCCCTAGTTGTAGGTGAGGGTTTCTTCAGATCTAGGAGCTAAACTGACCTCAAATCAGAGAAAAAAGGTGAATTCTCAGTGAGAAACTAATACTCTGTAGGCAGCGACATTTGGTCTGGACACAAAATGGGTGTGGGAAAAACAGAGAAAGAGAGGAGGGATGGAAGGGGTTCCCTGTTAGGGTGTGCCAAGGATTCCCTCAGAGTCATCTGGGCCGTGTCAGCTCTTCTGGCCCAGACACATTCCTACATCGTGACTTCACCCTGCCCTCACGCATAACACTCACACAAGCTCGCTTTTGTTGTCCTTTAAATTCATCTTGCTCTACTCTACTGTTCCACCCTCTTTTGCAACTATCTTTCTTTTACTCTACAACCACACAGTAAATGAAAACAAGTGGCTGTCTATTTACACACCAGTCAGTGGGAGAGGGGAAACACTTCCTGGAAACGGTTGCCAACAACACACAGAGCCTGTAACGTCTGCACATGGGGAAGTAGGAGGACATTTCTGAACAGTGTTCAGAAGCGAGAGCACGGCAGCACAGGATGCAGCGTCCGAGAAGAGCTCACAGCCAACCTGAACAAACTTTGACTCTGTTTATGTCCTAAATGAACTGTATACCCAGTCTTACTACTGTGAATGAATGATTCAATGGCATTTCATTCTTTTAAAAAAAACTACATCATTTTTATTTTTATTTTAGAAAAAACTTTCTTTACCATTAAACTACTTTTTTGTAATGACACATCCAAGTCCACATGGATGGGAGAAAATAATATTGCCCAACAGGGGTGAGCGATATGACCAAAATCCAAAGACACAAATGAATAGAACCAATTGAAAAACGTCCAAGTTTTAGAAATAAAAAGCTGCAATAGAACAAAGATACAAACGAATTTGGCCTACCTTAAAGTATATAGATACTATAGAAATAGGCTCCCACATAAATTGTATCAAATGTGCAAAAAAGAATGCATAGTCTATGCAGTAAATTTAATAGTGTAAACTGAATATACATAATTCTTTTTAAAGCTACAAAAGGGACTCAGACAAGAGCAATAAAATTGTTTAGTTAATGGCACAGATGCCAGCAGATATATCAGGCTGCAGTTACTTTATGACTGAATGCACTGATCTCATATAGTTAGTTATACATGCTTTCTTTTTCAGCTGTTTAAATTCACTTAAGTCATAAACAAAGGTGTTTACGAGGATACTTGCAAAGACATTTTGGCGCATAAGTGTGTAGGCTATATTTGACCATTGAAGCCCAACAAGGTGGCAAAATGAACTCATTTTGTATCAGAGTGGTGCAGGGATTACTTCAGAAGACTAACTTGCGCTGGTTCCTTTGA